TCTTTAAAAAAAGGCAGTGAAATAAGCACCTCGCCTTGAAAGACCGACACCGGAGAAACTCTCAAGATCTGCTTTTCATCAGGTGTCTAAGAGCAGGTAAGCTCTCAGAAGATCAGAGCTAGCTTGTAGAGTGCTCATCCAAAGAGGACTGAAGGGGGATTAAATGCTGCATTTCCCAAACACTTGCTCTCAACGTACAGTACTTTCCTTTCTTCCTGCATCAAATAGAAAAAAAACTCTGATTTGAAGTGGGGCTGCAGATGAGTGAGATTTACCGCGCTGACAGATAAATGTTTGATCAGGGAATGTGCTAAATTTAGCACATGATTGCATAAACTTTACTTTGACTTTCTGGCACCAAATAGAGTCTTTAAACGGTGAACAGTGAACGCGACCCATCCAACCTGCTCAGAGGGAATCCAGGGGCTTGTTTCTCTAAGGCCTCGTCCACACGTAGCAGGGTGTCCTACAAAACGAGGATGTTTTTCTACGATTCGGCCCGTCATCCACACGAAAACGCAGATTTACGGCGTTAAAAACGATCCTTTCAAAAACCAAAAGCGAAGATCTGCAAATCCTCCGTTTAAGCGTCTGCATGTGGACGTCGATAACCGGGGTTCTAGGTTTTGAAACGTTCTTTACGTCACATATGTGACCTGTGTTTACATTCGGAAACAGTGTGGACGCCCTCAGAACTGTGTCGTCTCTGGTCAAGGCCCAGACACCGCTCCACGTACAAGAACACGGGTGAAGGACGGCGTTAGTTATTTTCGCCGCCTCGCCATTCCACGTCCGAGGCGTGTTCTCCATCAGAGTCACCGACGCCGGTTTTGGGTGTCGGTGAGAACTTCGAAATCGTGCTCCCGGAGGAACGGCGTGACAATTTCCGTACGTCCCGCTCGTTGCTCCTGTCGTCGGAGTTATTTCATCCTCACGTAGAAGATGAATGTGCTTAACAACGCACGTGTACGTAAGTTTTTTTCTTGACGGAGGGGGAAGGATATTCGGTTTTACAAAAACCCTGCTACGTGAGGCCTAACAGCCACTTGTGGGCTCCTGGACTGAACCAACTGGATCCGTCACAATGAACAGATTCTCGAGTCCTACGGCGTTTTTTTTTTTGCACCACTTGCAAGTTCGGTGTTTGTTTTGATGAGTGAAACGTGGAGAACGCGGCCTCTCGGGGCGAATCACAGGTGATGTGACGATGAGGGTGAAGGAGCAACCGACTGGACCCTCGTAAAGGAACTCGAGCAAGAAGCCGGCAGAGGACACGAGTGATGTGAGGTGACAGCTGGCGGAGCGACAGTGAGGTACGTCGGATACTCGAGGTACAAAAAAGATGATCAGCGGCTGCGTACAACGGGAGAGGAGGTGTTGGTGTGATGGAAGGGAGTGTGTTGCTAATTAGTGCCAGGGTCACGCTGGTCACCTCCTGGAGTCCTGGACAGGGAACTGCAACTCCTGGCTACGACCACTTCTGCCCGGCAACAGGAGCTAATGATCACCCCGTCTCTCTCTCGCTCTGTTTTCTTTTTTTTTTCCTTCTACACTTTCTCCCCTGGTATCGCCGGCTCCTGCTTTGTGCTGACACATGGACTGACTGGGAGCACATTTCTGCTCCAGCCTCCTTAAAATTGCAGGCATGCCTTGTGTACACTTCCAACAAGGTATTTGTATTCAGAGAAGGTACATTTATGCCATTGTGCTATTAAGAAAAAGCCGTTTCTGTTTGTTGGGTAATCTTTCAGATCTGTGTGAAATATTAGCACGGTGCGCTAGCAGCAAACACCTGCCCTAACGTCTTTTTTTCTTTCTTGAATCTCCATTAGCAAAATAGAGCTGATATTCTTTGTTGTGCATTCCCACCCCTCTCCCCCCCTTCCCCATAATCTCTTGGCTATTTGTAATCCTGTTTCCCATAATGCCATTACGACTGAATCTCAGGCCATTTGTAGGACGCTCTGCTCTCTGATGTGCAACTCCTGCATTATGAGTCCTATTAAGCTTCAAAATGTCCTCCGTACTCTATAAAACAGCAGCTGTAAAAGTCTGGAGAACTCGGGTTTTTAGCTACGCCGAACTCGCAAACCTCGGAAAAAAGTTGAGACGTTAAGAAAAACACATGCACACGGACACACACGCATACTAGCTTAAAACTGGTAAAGTCATAGTGTAGCAGCTCTGTTGTTTCATCGGGACACTTGAAACGATGGAGTACAGTGAGTTCAGGTAACGAGACGAGCAGGGTTGGCACATCAGGGACTCCTAAAACCCAACATTTGTCAGATGCTAGCCGATAAAGATCGTAATGAGCGAAGAGACGTATTCATTGGGCGATAAGAGCAGATCGTAGCCCCGAGGCGAGTGAAAGCAGATGTCAGGCGGCGGATCGGATAAAAAGGAAAAGGACACGTTTGATTGGACGATAAACGGCCGAACAGGTTTCGATGACGCTTCTGACCTCCGTCGGCGGGATGGAAGACGAGAATCTGCAGCACGCATTTATGACCGAGGAAAGGAAATAAAAACGTACGTATGGCTTCAACAGGTGTAGCTCACTTTGAGGAACCGGCGGCCAAAAGGTCGACGGCGGCCAGCTCGTCACGGAGACCAGCGAACACAATGAAGGCAGAAGCTCGAGACGGCTTCGTCTTTAGCACCATAAAGTAGCTTCGATAGCACAACTTCTTCAACAAGCTCTTCCGTGTGCTTTGCTTTGACTGCTCCGCGTTTAATTTGGAATCATTTGGAAGCTTCGTTAAAAGGCACTCGATGTATACGTTGATTGTTGCGTGATGACATAGTTTGCCCGCGATGTGCACCACCATCAGTGACTCGGGATCGTGGCGAGTCACATGAACTGCGAGGAGCTCAATTGCAATTGTCACCAAACAAAAAGCTCCCTCTCCGTCTGGAAGAAAGGGGTCTTTTGAGGGACACTGGAGTGGATCCTATTGCCCCGGAGGGAGACAAATTGGGCCCGTCAAGCCTCATTGCGAGAGTGACTGAAATTGGTTTGTGGTTCTGCTTCTGCACCATCCAATAAAGAGAAGAAACCTCAGAGAGAGCGTGAGAGCGAAGGAGGGGAAGCAGGGAGAGAATGACAGCGAGGGAAAATGAGAGCAAAGGAGCCCGGCTCGGCCATGGCGCATTAATGGTGCCACTGAAGCGGGGGGCTTTTAGTGCCGGAGCACCAACAGCCAGGGCAGAGCGGGAGGGCGAACAGGGCAGACACACAGGCTGCTGTAATGCTGGCAGAAATGGCCGCCGTCCCACAGGCAATTTCTTCTGGGACAATCCTCGGAGATGAAATCACTGGAAACCCTGGAGCAGCCCGGGGATGGAAAGACCGGATCAGACGAGATGGGGTTGTTTGTGCAACAAATTGGGACGAATCGGGGCGTAACTGACACTCAGCGGAGGGGTCGGAGGAAGACGGAGCTGCCATCAGCACCTCGTCGTGGCTGGTGAGGAGTCCAGTTAGTTCCCACAGGTGTGCTGACGTTGTGCTGAGCAAACGATCCGGGAGGTGTTCAAGAGAATCTCTGGCTTCTAGACACACCTCCTCCTGCCTCGTTAGTGTCACAGTGCAGGCAGACGGCAGCGACGGCGCTCTGACCATGCAAATTGGAGTGCCCGGGATTCGAGTTAGAGAGTCAGCTCTGCCTCCGTTTGTACTTTAGAGGAATAGCGTCTCTTCGCTGTGACTTCCTGGAGTCTCGACTGGGTGAATGTCGGCTTCACAGCGACCAGAAGACACCAGACAGTCACTGATAAAGCACACACGTGTTCGTTTTACGCTGCTTTCTGTATAAAACAAATAAGATATAATAAGTTTATGAGTGAGCATTAGCGCTGCTGGTAACACTGCACAGCCTCTGTGCTAGGCTAAGCTAACCAGCTGCTGGTTGTAGGTTCTTATTTAACATCCCCACGAGACAAATCGACGTCTAAACAAAGTGAGCATCTCAAACTATTCCTTTAAGCAAATCTTCTGGACTCTGAAGGTCAGTGCCATTTAGTGCCATAAAGTTTATGCAATCATTGTTAAAAAATGCAGCAAAACAACAACGTCTGTTGTTGTGAGCACATAAATAAAGAGTGAGCTCTGTCCAGGTGACACAGCGATGAACACGAGGTCGGACAGCAGCGATCGAAGCTTAATACGCTGAGACATGGTTGTTGAGTTAGTTGTGGTTGAATCGAAGAGATAAAGAGACGGACAGAAATCACAGAGAGCTGGAGGCGATGCATCAGTGACCAACATTCTGTTTCCTAAAGTGTTCCCTGCAGGATCTGAGAGAGAGAGAGGGAGGGATGGATGGAGGTGGAACGCACCCACGGCAGGCGAAATAAAAGACAAGAGGAGGTGAAGGACTTTTGGTACGACTGCCACCGGTCGTGTCACACGTTTAAATACTGTCTGATGTGTGTGTGAGAGTTGGTGTGTGTGTGTGCACATGTGTAGGTGTGTGTGTGTGTGTGCGCACATGTGTAGGTGTGTGTGTGTGTGTTTGTGTGCGTGTGTGTGTGTGACAGCTCGGACAAGCATGAAAAACCATCTGAAACCCGGTGAGAAGAACACGTCAGGAAGGATAGTAAGGACTGGTCCGGCCATCAAGGTCAAAAAAACAAAAAAACAAAACAAAACGACGACAACAGCAACAACAACAACAACAATATCAACATTAACATCATCAACAACAACAACATCAACAACAACAAAATCAAACTGAAAAATGAAAAGGAAACAAAAAAACAAATGAAAACAAAAGAGAGAGAGAAAAACAAAAACTCTGGTTCAGAGTGTCTCTTCATCTTTGGTATAAAAATGGCCATCCACGGGCTGCATTTGATCCACAACTAGGAAAGACTACAGAAATTGTCAACAATTTCTTCTATTGCTTTTGCACTGATTGGTTTAAACCATAAGCTCCTACTGAATCTACTGTTTTTTTTTTTATTTTACTGCCAGAATTGTTCTGTAGTTTTTTTTATTTTTTTTAGTTCATTTTATAATTTTTTTCATCTTTTTTTTTTTCTTCTTCTTTTCGCAGTGTGACAAGCAAAGCGGGCTAAAAACATCTTAAAGCTCATAAAAAAGGTAAAATGTGGCAGATAAAAAGCACTAATGTCATCGACAGCAACTTTGCCATGTAAAATAATAATGATAATAAAAAACAAGTTCAGCATTTTGCAACAGACTGCATCCACAGTGCAGCATGTTCTCGTATGGTTTCTCTTTTTTTTTTCCTCCTCATTGTGAAAAATCTCTTCAAAGCTTCGTCTTTCCCCCCCGCGAGTCTTTTTTATTTTCCCCAAACAGACATTTTGTTTTCTTCTGACACTTAGTTACCTCTGACATAATAATTATCAAAGTTTTCTTCTAATGAAGAAAAGAAAAAAGCTCTTCTCTATTAAATCTGTACAGCTTATGTGATAGATTCTTTTTTTCCTCTTTAGAACAACCTCTCCAGTGTCTTGTACCCTCCACGTGGTCCAAGACACTGATTTTGTTTGCTTTTTTTTTTTTGTTCACCCCCCAACCAGACGTCAGACTTTAACTCTGTAAAAAGTTTCTGGCGCCCTTCAAATTAAGGCCATGAAGATTCAAGAAAGAAAGAAAGAAAAAAAAAAACACTTTGTTTTCGAATATATCTAGAAAACTAAGATTTAACACTAGAACATAAAAAAGACTGAAAAGAACTTGTAGCTTAATATCTGAGGAAGACAATCTCTGTGTGTATCTCAAACTTGACTCCCCTTTTTCTAATTACAAAATAAACTTCATCACCTACCTGCGCATTCAACCTTTTTTTGTTTTGTTTTGTTTGTGTTTTTGTTTTATTTTTTCATTTTTTTCTGTTTTTTTTTTTTTTTTTTTTTGACATTGGTTGAGAATTTTCTTTGAGAAACTTTTCAAGCTTCAGCCCAGCCCTTCAGGCAGGTTCCCAGACTAAACAATTTCACTTCTTTGCACTGTGCCCAGCAATTTCCCCATTCATCCCCTCTCCTCAGCACTCCTCGCCTCCTTCTTCTCCATTTTTTTTTCTTTTCTTTTTTTTCTCGTAGGCCAGGTAGGAAATGAAAAAAGTGTCTCTTTTTTGGTGCCTGGGCAATCTGGAAGCAATCTCTTTCTTTTCTCTTTTCCTCACATTCACAGTGCAGCCACCTTCTGTCTCAAGGCAACGCTGTCACAGGAACATTCGCTCAGGCCGTTGCTATCTGATGAAAGAGGAGACAACAGAAGCAGAGAGAGGAGAGAGGAGAGAGGTGTGCAGCTGTAATCAAAGCACAATTTTTTTTTTTTTTTTTTACAAACACACAAGAGCAACGGAGCTGACAGCTGACAGCTCAGTCAGCAGGCTGGAGCAAAACGAAATGAAATTAAAGAGTTCCGATCGGGTCAGGAAGCAGAAAGAAGCGCCGCCGAGATGACGAGCGAGCGACAACGGCAGCCAGGAATAATTTGAATCATCGCGTTTCTTTCATTTTGAGATCGGCATTAACTCCCATGCTGCTCGACAAAGGAGGAACGTTTGTTAAGCAGCAATTTGGGTGTTTTTGTTATTCACACAACATCTCAGAAATGTAGATTTTGACATTATTGCTTCAGCTAATCGAATAGTTTTACCAGACAAGTCAGATGTACTTTGTCTGCACATGGAACTATACATACAGATTAATTCATACCCTCCCAAAAAAACACTGAAATAAGTTGAAATTGACAAAATTAATAACAAATAAAAATTTTATGAACTCTCAGTCAGATTTCTGCACCTGTTGTCAGGTATTCTGGACCACTGCTCATCAGCAAAGGCCTCTCATTGGTCTGGGAGGATTTCTTTCTTTATTTTTTAAAATTATTTTAGAAAAATAAAACATATAAAGAAACATCTTATTTCACTAAATTATAATTTAGCAAATTTTTATTTATTATTACTTTTTTCCGTTTCTAGTAATTTGAGTGACTGTTGTGAATTTTTCCTTTTCTTTAATGGAAGGGGATGAATACATGAGTATACAATACAGTTGAAACTAGAAGTTTGCATACACACTTTCTCACTGTCTGACATGAAATCAGACTAAACTTTTCCTTTTTTAGGTCAGTTAGGATCACCAACATTATTTCTATTTGCTAAAAAGTCTTCAACAAGAACAACATGTTCAACACGTCTGTTTCTTGCTCATCTAGTGAAATAAAATGACACTACACACCCAAAAGATAAGAAAAAACCTCAACAAAACATCCCTGATGGTGCACGATCTGTATGCATATATTGCTCTACACCCACTCCTTGTGCTTATAATTTCAAAATAATAATATGTTTAAATGTAAAACTGCCTAAAACCTCGATGCATGCAGTTCTGCCTCCCCGTTGGACTTACTTGGACTGGTATGAGTAAGCAGGAACATGGTCGGCAGCACTGTCCACCTGGATCTGTTGCTGCTGGCCAGCCACCTCCTGTGATGAAGGAGCCACTGTCTGGGGTGAGGCGTCTGTCACCACTCCCTGGGGGACACACAGGGGAGGAAACGTGTCAGCTAGTAAACTTCTCCTGCTGTCCTCTCGCCGTTACGCTTCCTGCTGCACGCCTTGACGTCTTTCGTGGGGATCCCTGCTCGGTGGCTCTTCCTCTGGGTTTTTCCTCATTTGCTAAACTGAAATCAAGAGTCTAAAGATGGAGGCTTCACCCTCAGAGGATCCCGTGTAGGAATCTGAAGGGGCACCAAACACGTGATTAGAAGTATTTGTGCATCGTGTCGCCTCTATCACACCGGGTAATAGGCTGCATCATTACAGTGAGACAGACGAGCAAGTTCACCCAGCTCTTACCCTCAGACAGGCCGTGATTATGACTTTAACAGTGTGATGACACAGCTGGTTTTAATGTTGTGGCTGGTCAGTGTACCTGTAATCCAACTCGTGCTATTTTTTGCAGCTTCCACCTGATAAAGTCAGTAATAGTTGCACAGAGCTGTACTCTACGGACACTTTTGCAATTCAGTAAGTCTCCTCATCCTTGACATATTCTGCCAAATCACAACCGTAAATTAGAAAGTCGCCTTTTTATCATCGAGTCGGATTATTGAATCTGCAACTCCACCAGATTCGATGCGACAGAAATAAAGTGCAACAAGCGCTGTTTTAGTCCGAGTAGCATCGTGCTTCCTCTCTAGTTAATCTTTGAAAGACTGCTGCACTCCAGGGTTGAAGGGGTTAATAAATACAAGGCATTCGCTGGTGATTACTGATTCACATGCTTTGTCTCTTACACCCACATATCTTCATTTTCAAGCATTAAAAGTTTCCCCATCTATGTCGAGACGAGCTACGCGCACGGCGAAGGCAACCACACAAAAAAAGTTGAATGTAGTGTTTGCTTTCAATAACAAAATATACAGATGGTATTGTCTAACACTAAAGCTATCGATGGGCGATATTATATTCAGGAATATTCATAATAAACACAAGTAACAGGAGCTGTCTGTGTGTGGGGAGAACAGCATCAATTAAACACATTTCTTGTAAAAAAAAAAAAAAAAGCTTCATTTGCTTCCTTTCTAACGTCTGCATCTGAGGTGAAGAACTTCCTTAAGACTCGCTCTGTGAACTGATCCATCACAACAACCTCTCAGCCTCTCTATGTGTCCGGCGTTACCGATAGCCCCGATCACTGAGTCATCTCCATCACCTTTAACAAGCTCTCAAGGATACTGCGTCCCGTCCATACATCAGCCCCGCAGACACCGGCTGATGCAGTGATGTACGCCCTGCCGCTGACGCTGGCACCGAGAGGACGACGGCCAGGATGAAATGGGTAAGAGGCGCCGTGGGCTACTCTACCACTACATCCCTCTGTCTTCACTCCTTCATGGGTGCAACTTTGTGAGGAGGGAGAGTCTAAGGCGGGAGGAAGGAGGAGCGACTAATGGGTCTGTCAGAGGAGGCTGTCATTGTTCGTGGCTGGTGGGCTAACCAGAGCTCTGCGGCTGACGGATGTGCGTGTTCCAGCCACCCACCAGCCAGAACTGGCTGTGGGGAGGAGAGAGAGACAGCACCGCCGGCACTGTGTCTCACTTCAGCTCCTGTCATCTGATACACGACTGATAGTCCATCTGAATACGACCGCACTGTCAGCCGCCAGACAGCTGGCCCGCTCTCCTCGCCGGCCGGCCCGCCTGCCCGCCTGCCTACCCGCTCCCTCATCATTTCTCAGGCTGGACTGCCCGAACCTGCCAGGAGTTTAGACAGCCGCCGAGGAAGTGAGAAAAGTCTGCGCTGCACTTCAAATGTCTTTCCCGAAATACTATAAAACTTCTGACTCATCTTGCTTCGCTTGCAGTTTTGATTCTTGTTATTCGCTGCCGGTGCCGGGCCATTTGTTTAGAGAGAATCAGAGCAATTTGCAGCGCGCTTCAATCTGTCTATGTAATGACTGCTGTTCGTCTATTGATGGTTAGGAATGGTGACGGGATGGGACGCCGCTATAGCTCACCTGGTTGAGCTGGCGTCCCACCTACAGGCCCGATGTGGAGGTCATGAGTTCGAATCCCGCTCATGGCCCTTTCCCACATGTCCTCCCCCCACTTTCCTCTCACTGCTCTATCAAATAAAGGCACATAACTTAATAAAGAAATGGTGACGGGTGGTCATGGTGTCCTCATGCTCGGTGCTGTGTGTGGTGGTCTTACTTCGACAGGGACGGCTGTTGGAGGCACAGGAGTGTACTGGGGAATGTAGGTCCCTTGCATAGGCGCCGCGGCGGCTGCAGCAGTCATGTACTGCAACAAAAACAAAACACACACACACCCGTCAAAATCCGTGCACATGTAAAGTCCTGCTACACACACTCCAGTTACAAATCCCGATCTGAAATAGAAGGAGAAACACTCTTCAGATACCAGGCGCTGACATCATAATTCCCTGGAAGACTCGCTCGGTGTAATTATTCCAGTAACTGCTGGGAACCGGAGGCTGCTGTTCCCTCAGTATCCTTTGGAGGGCGCTAAAAGAATACGTGTGCACGCTCAGAAGAGCTAAGCAGATCAAAAAAAAAAAAAAAAGAGAGAGTATGTAAGGGAAACAGAGGAGAAGGAGGAAGAGGAGATGTCCTGCTGTTCCATCAAGACTTCACAGGCAAGCAAATGCACTGGGCCACAGCTGAGAGGAAGAAAAAATAAAAGCTGAAGGGAACGAAGGAGAGCATGTGAGAGAGAGAGAGAGAGAGAAAGGGAAAGAAAAAGCAAGAAGTCTGTTGCCCGTGGCCTATATTCCTTTATTCATGCCTGCCCCGGCTTTTAACTGGGAGCCAGCCTGCTCCGTGATGGCCGTTTTACAGACGTGACACAGGTTTGGTTACATGACAGCCAGGGGCCTTTCACATGCAATATGAATGAGGACACGGCACTTTGTGTGAGGCTTTTTCTCTAACTTGCTGTGAATGCTTTGTGTGTGTGTGTGTGTGTGTGTGTGTGTGTGCACTCTAAGCCTGATTTGTCAGTGTGTGTGTGCTTGTTTTTAATTAGCGCATGCCTGTGCATAAAAGATGACTTATCACTGCTCGTCTGTCCAGCTGTGCATGTTCGGCCTCTCCTGTGCAGCTGTGTGTGGGATCCATACATGCATGTGTGTGTCTGAGAACGACAGACAAAGACAAAGAGGCTTGGACCGATAATGCTGCAGTACAGCGCCAGCGGATGTGATCCCAGATAAAAGCCACCAGGCTGCCTCTCCCCCCTCTCCTCGTCTTCCTGCTGCCTTTCCGGACCAAGGAAAAAGGGAAGTACAATCCCTTTCTTTCAGTTTTATTTTTTCCTTTCCCCTCTCAGTCCCCCTGCCAGTGCTAAAAAGCGTGGCGGCAGTATGCAGTAGGAGGCAGTAATGGAGGGGCTGCGCCGGGCTGCGAAGCCTTTCTTGGCCGTGGGCCCGGCGGTACTGGTGAAGTGTCATTACCGGCAGCGTTGCTAATGGATCGGGTACGGCTCCACCGCTCACCGCTAATGAGAGCAGCTAAAGGCCATGGACATGGGTGATTAACTCCCCCACCGTTGCTACACATGGCCAGGAGGATGCCCTGGGATGGATGTTAGTGTGCGTTCGCATGTGAGCGTGACTGTGTGGCTCTGTGCATGTGAATTTAAGGTTATCACACCTCCAGGGCTGTCACACTCCGGACGGGGTGAGGCCTCCTGACACATTAGCACATTACCTTTCTGTGTCATCCCTTCTTTCCTCTCACCTTCCTGTCACTCTCTCCCCCCCTCTCGCTCGCCGCCTCTCTTTCAACCTGCTATCGTCGAAAAGGGCCTATCAGATTGTTGAAGTGACCTTCTCCCCGCTGAATCGAAACCATGCATACCAATTTTCCCCGGGACTTTAGGTCTTCGCCTCTCCTCCCCATTAACTTATCCGGCCGGCTCACCTGTGAGGCCCGCATGAAAGCAAATGAAGGGGGAGTGGGAGATAATTAGCAATATCAAAACCGCCCTGTCACGGGGACAATGTCCGTCTGAAATGTTATACTTCTCTGCAGGACAGCAAAAAGAATTTAAATTAGATTTAACAAGAAAATTTAATAAGATAAGATTTCTCCCTCCATCATAACCATTTGTTAACCTATTTAATGTGGCAGGATGAGCAGGGCATATTTCTGCAGTCGCTGCTGTGGCAAGTCAGGGAGATGTCAAGACCGGCTACAGAGAATCGGGTTGCTATGGTGATGAAGATGATTTTTGTCCAATTTCAACTCTTTTAATACTTCCTTGTCCATAGTCTGGGGACAGGTTTGGGTAATATAAAGCATCCCTAATTGGCCATAAATGGTGTTTCACTCTCGCAGCCACACACACACACACACAGTCATGCACACACACACACACCTGTGCCTGAAGCAGATGGCGTATGTTTGATGAACGGGAGGCCTGAATAGCTCCTTAACGAGGCTGGTGTGAGTAGACTCCTTAAGTCTCCTCTCCACCATCACTCTCCATGACACACACCTATAACTACAGTATAAATTCACACCGCAATGCAGCATCGCCGGCCTGAAAATCCATAGCATAGACAGAGCCGCTCCGGTACCGCGGCGGCCGAGGCCTCCGCACCACCACGGCGACACGTGGGGCGATTTATGCTCGGTGGGTCCAAGGATGAAGGGGCAGTTTAGGGTTCTGCATTCCACACCGACCAGGATTTCTCTATAAATTCCAGTTCTGGCGTCGGTGGAATGTAGCACGGCACATTAACATGTCTAAATGTCCGAATAAATCACGTGGCCGCAGCTCTGTCACTCAGTCTCCGCGTCTATCCATCCTCTCTGTGTTGACACGCCGCTCTGTTGTATCATCTGCAAGGTGAAGGATAACAGTTGGTCAAGGCGAGAGCATCCAGCTACTCAGCGCCGGTTATTAATGGCGGTGCAGCGCGGCGGGGGGATGGGCGCTGATGACTATTGATCTTAGCTGTGGGGCTCCAACACGATGGGAACTATTGGAAGTGCACACCAGCGGCTGTGAATCACAGCGCTGTGCCACTTTACTATGAAAAGCTCTTCATATCTCGGTCCCTGGGCTTTGTTAAGACCCTGCCGGCAGAACCAGTCACTTCTTTAAACACATTACTCCCAGCATGCTTTGACTTTACATAATCTGGCTGTTTCAGTGCTTGCTATTTCACTCTTCCACATGTGTTTGTGGATCTGGAGAGAAGCCGACGAGCCGCCCCGTCCTTGTACGACTAACTGTGTTCGTATTCTCAGCACAGAGTCCAACATGTTTCCGGCGGGTGTCGGACTCTGCAGAGGTTGCTGCTTGTCTACGATCCTGTTGATCGTCAGACCGTGACTTTCAGCGTGCACCAGGGCAGTCTGGAGTCGAGTGTGAAGCGACTGGAGTCGGTACCTGCAGGTTTGGGTTTCTGCTAGAAGCTGGTGGATTACGAGTGCCCTAAAAGTGGAGCATGAGATGGACGTATGGATTGGAGCAGCGTCAGCGGTAGTGCAGGAGTTGTAGTGGATTGTTGTAGTGAAGAGGAAGTTAGACTGGAAGGCACCTGATTCACCATTCGTCTGTGCTCCAGCCCTCAGCCATGGACATGAGCTCTGGGTTCTGACTAATAGAATGAGACGCCAGACACAAGCAGCTCAGCCTCAGAACAAGGCTGAGGAGCTCGGACTTCCGCCTGAACCAGCTGAGGAGGTTCAGGCGTCCTGGGCGACTTCCTTTAGAGGTTTTCTGGACACTTTCAAAAGGAAGGAGGCACCAGAGTAACTCACTGGAGGGATTACATATCTGGCC